ATAAAGATTCTTTAAACATAGTAACAGTGCCTGGGACGCAGGCAGAAACCTTTCTAGTAAGCTCAGCTGTCAGTGACATTACAGATAACATCATTTTAACAGAGAGTAATGGCTCAAAAAGTACAGCCCACAGATGCTTGAGGGTGTTCATGAATTCATCGAAAATTCAAGGGTTGGGTGGAGAGATCTACTCAGAATAGAGACAAAAAATGCCAGAGACTTGCTATTAGTCATGCCGGCTCCAGCTCAAACTTGTTACAAGGGCCACCAGGCCGGTGCCCCTGCCAGCTGGGCCAGGGACCCGCACAGAGCACTGCCGTCACCTCTGCTTCCTGGCGGGAGCGCTGGAGGACCCACAGGCTGAGGGGAGGCAGCCCGGGAAGGCTCGCCAGAGGAATGGGATCCGGGTTTCCTCTTACTGTTTGAATCTCAGCATCCTCTGCTAAAATACCTGCGATCCCACACGTCCTGTGTCACAATATGAAATGACAAAAAAATTAAAAATTAGAAGACATGAGTCCAAGAATGGCATCACAGAGGGAAGGCATAGTGTTACTTGCAATGGCAGAAATACATACATACATGCGATACCTAAAAGTTTATTAAAGCACTTACTAAAATTTGATTTCTTAGAGTCCTATAATAGTCCCTCTGAGGTGACGTGGTTGGCAATGGTCCCCTTGGGGTAAGTGGAAAGACTGAGGCTCAGAGGACAGCGACTTGTCCCAACCTGGCCGGCCGTCGGAGCAGACCCTCAACCCCAGCACCTCGCCCTCCTCCTTGCAAGGATCAAAAGGTATACGGGCACTTTGTTCACCTAATGTCATCCTGGAAAATAGTCAGCTGCCGTTCTCTAATCACAAATACACTTCACAAGCCATGTGTATTTATTACAAACCTGCCATGAGTGAAATAAAACCACATATGCTATCCATTCAACAGCCAATTCGATTCTAATGAGAACATATCAGTCTAATTACACAAGAAAGCCAGGAGGACAGCAGGGCACAGGAAAAAAAGTGACAATCCCCTATGAAAATTTGAATATGGTTATCGTTGAATAAATGTGTGACCTGGAAATAATGGATGGCCTTTACTGTGTCACACTTACTTGACGGGAAAGAGAAATGGTCCGGCGACAGGACTTCCGGAGCCTGCGGTGCCGGTGGGGATGTGGGCAGACCCCATGGGGGCTCAGTCCAAGTGCTCACCTTACAAAGCAATTGACCCCAAAAGTTGAGTTCGAACTGAGGCTTATTTCAGAAAGCCATATTCTAAATTCAGGTTTTTTAAGGTTGCCCACAGAAGCATGTTCAATCCATATGTCACTGAACTTGGAACCTATGTTATTTAAAATCTTGCTGTTAAAGATGGGCGTTCAGGGTGCAAATTCAAGAGGCCAGAGGTGAATCCCCGGCTCTGAGCCCCACCCTCCTGACACTTGTCCTTGCCCTCCTTTCGCTGGAGGCCTCCTCCCAGCCCCAGCTCCCAGCGAGCAGGCGACTCCTGGTTGAACGCCAGCAGTGACCAGGGCACAGTGCGGTCCCCTTCCTTTGGCCCTGGGAGCAGGCTCACAGGTGGCCTGCAGTGGCAGGAAGCTCTGGCAAGGGAAGCAGCAGGGCAGGAACACCAGGGGAGGTGGCCAGGGAGGTGGCTCCAGAGAGAAAGGGCTCGGTCCCAAAGACACGGACGGCTTGAGGACACGGGACATTCGTAAGTCAGGATTATTAATGTTTTGAAAACTTCCAATCTCACTTCTCGAGCAGGGTTTTTAGTGAGTGGCAGTGTAGCTGTACGCGGCCCTTCAATTTGCTGCCCTGACCTTGAGCGCGCCCCTCACGCCACCCAGGACAAGCCGCCCCCTTCTCTGGCCTGGACCACGGCCACGGGCTCCTAGCTGGTCTTCCCTCTTCTCTCCCCGCCACCCCACTCCTTCCACAGGCGCGTTCCATCCGGCACAGCGCGCCCAGCCCAGCGGCCAGAGGCGTCTTTCTAAAGCCTAAACCCCAGGCCCGCACGGGCCGTTGCACTGCTCCAGTGGCTTTCAGTTATCCCTGGGCTGCGCTCCAAGTCGCCGGGTGGGGCCTGCCGGGCCCGCCCACTGGGGCCTCTGATTTTTTTACTCCCTGCGCATCTCCCTCACTGTTCCTACACGCAAGCTTCCTGCCAGCTCCCATCCTGGGGCGCGTGCGGGGCACGGGGGACGTTAGTCCCCTCTACCTGGAACGTTCTTCAACAAATTCCTCTGTACGGCTCACCGTTCAGCCGCGGCTCCACTGTCACTTCCTCACAAACACCTCCTCGAAAGGCCCTTCCCCAACACTTTCTAGCACATTGCCCTATGTTATTTGCTTCCTCTGATACCATATTATTGGTCTACTTGTTCACTCCATTGAGCGGCCAACGTGTCTGTCACTTTCTCTTTCTTGAAATGACCTAAGCTGAGAGAAGAACCCTTTTCCTAAATTTCCTTTTCATCTAAATCCCTCCAGTGTATTTCACCCCTGCCCTCCCCCACGCCCAGCCCCCTCCCACACACACACCTTTAAGAAAATGTCCTCTGGTGCTCAGTGAACACGGTAACGGCACACATGTGAGAGACGGGGTAGAAAGTTACCCTGAGCTCCTAGGGGAGAGGAGGAAGCGACTGGTGACTGGGAGCTCCCCACGCTCTCCGGCTTCTTCCTTCCCTACAGGAAGCACCGGGTCTTCCGGGGGGCTGACTGCGGGACCCCCACGCCAGGCAGGAGAAGCCTAAAGCCGTATGTACTGCCACAGCAGGCGCTCCCCCAAGTCTCTGAGAGAGTCCCCCAGAGAAAGGCCAGTGCCAGGTGCCTGGCCTCATCTCAGTGGCCCCCGCAGGACGGAGTCGCCCTGGACGAACCCAGCCGCTCTGGGATTCCTTCCCACACCTGTGGTTGAGGACATGAGCTTGGGTTCAAGTTTCTACTTTGGCACCAACTAGTGATGTGACCTTGGGAAGTTAGTTACGTCACCTACACCACGTGTCCACAATAAGGGAAACTGAGTCCTATAGGCCTGACTTTTCAGAAGGCGGAGGACTGTTTTTGTTTGTTTGCTCAGCTGAAAGATGGGGATGATGACAATAGTGCCTAGTCTCAGGGCTGTGTTGTGGATTAACTGGGTTAATTTATAGAAAGCACAAGCAATTACTATTCTGATTACTCAGCAACATCTTTTGCTCTCCCTAGAAAAACTGAGAAAGGCCCAAGACCAATATATGTTTAAATGTACTTAAGTGACCATCTAAACTCTTGGAAACAAAATGTATCTAAGAGAAGATTCCTTAGGGCAACTGAGCACAAAAGAAAATCATCGATTTATCCATTTTCCTGTCTAGGGAGGCACCTATCTCAGAGCTCCTGAAGCTGTGCTCCTTTTTTTAAAACTTGCATTGAATTTACTGGGTCGACACTGCTTAGTACAGTTGTACAGGCTTCAGGCGCACAGTTCTACAGGGGACCATCTGAGCACTGTGCTGCGCATGCACCACTCGAAGTCAAGTCCCCGCCCCTCACCATTTCTCCCCCTTTACCCCTTCTGCCTCCCCCATCACCCTTTCCGTCTGGTAATCGCCGTACTGCTGTCTGTGTCTGTGAGTTGTTGCTGCTGCTGTCAGTGCTGTTTTTGCCGAATCCCTTCACCTTTTCACCCAGCCCCCCACCCCCTCCCCTGACAGCTGTCAGTCAGTTCTCTGTGCCCGTGTAACGCTGGCGACTACCGAACAATGACAGGGACATCCAAGCGGCCAGCACAGGAAAGGGACCCCTGCTCGTCCTCACTTTCTCTCAATGACCAATTCCACATGTGATTAAAGTCAGTAAAAATATACGGCATAAAAATTGAAAATAAAGCTTCTGAGCAGAAATTGTCTTTGGATCTTCCTGTAGAATTTGATTTCCCTTACTGCAGAAAATGTAGTGGAAATCACATGATCATCCGATGTTTACTCAACACGCTATTGTACACAAAGCACTCAGGAGACAGAAACACTATGTAAGACATGCAAATTGTCCTCCAACAACTGACAGAGGTACCTGTGGTGCTTTTAAAAGATACGAAGCCAAGGTTGGAAGGACTATTAAGTCTGAAACTCATGCTCTTACAGCCAAATAAATTTGAGACAATCTCACCTGCAAACAGTTGTGCTCTCAGGGACTAGCTTTCTTTTTGCACTATGCAAAGTGTTTGCATGCTGCATTATAAGCATCAAAAACTTCTCGAGTCAGAAGACCAGAGCTATTGAAATTTCCAACACACCGTTTAATTTCTATCCATGGCCTCCCAAATTCGGCAGTAACACTGCACCATGTAAGGGCTCTTTAATGGCTCTGCAAGAATGGTATGACAGGTTTGGTCCTGTGCTCTCATCGCTGCCAGAGTTAAATAAGCAGTACGGCACAGGACCAAAATTATTGGCATCTAACATGAACCAGAACGCTGTCGCTATCTCATGCCTTTACACAGAGGCCAAATTCTCAAAGAACAAACTTCACATAAACAGTTATCGGGAACTTTGAAGGTGAGTGATTTACACATTTTCAAAAGCCTGTCATTTGAGACTGATGTCGCAGCAACAATTCTAAAATGCTTATAAATTCCGCATCAGTGTTATTAATTTCATTGTTATAATGCTCTATTGCCTTGAGTCTTTTCACCACATTATTTAATGAAAGATTCTTTCACTGTATCATACCTTGCCACTATTACAAAGAAGGAGTTTCCAACTGCGGAGTCCTAACTCCATTTCTTCAGGTAAATGGACAGGACAATACACCAAAGAAGTAAAAGAAATTTAAAGGGAATATTGTAAAATTCAAAACCTCTGGGGGGAAAAGAAACAGTGCTACTTGAAACAGATATTCCAGCCTAGGTCCCACTGAAAGAGAGCCAGTGAGCGATGTCTCAAAATTGCACATCCCAACGACATCAGTTAGCCGGGAATGAGAACACTCTGTCACTCCCCGTGGCTTACTTACCTCGTCATCCTTATACCAGGACAAGCTTTCAGCCGTGAGGACGAACCAGTACCCCTTGGAGCCCCCTTTCATGATGCCGATGTTGCTGATGGTCAGCCAGCCCTTGCGGATCACCTGCAAGAGAGCACAGGCCAGCAGCGGAGCTTAGTTCAGTGTGAGCCAACGGAGACCACGGGCTTTGCACTAAGCGAAGAGCAAAACAAGGTACAGATTGCAATAAGAACAGCATTGCTCCCCCAAAGTTCAACTTCTATTCCTCTATTTAAGGTAATTTATCTTCCAAAAGCACAGAAAACCAGAGGGAAGGCTCTCCCATCAAGTGAACAAAATCTAAATGTTGGACATGGGTAGACGGCGGGAGCAGAAAGTCTGGAGGAGGAGGAAGGGAACAGCCCGTGCCAGGCAGCCTCACTTACGGCAGGGCTGCTACGATGAAGACACGTTCGTCGATGGGAGGAGCGGCGACGGGCTCACTGCGCCCACTGCCTCTGCCCGCAGCCCAGCCCAGCGCCCGGCCCTGCCTGCTTTGGTCTCGCCAGACTTCCTGCGGAGACCGGCCACCTGATGGTGAACAGGAAGGGCTCAAGCCAACCCAAAACCGCTCCTTGTGAACAGCTCTGACTGAGGCTGAGTGAGGGGGCGGGGCTGAGACAGTGAGCTAAGATTAAAGTTACGAGTTTTATAATCATCTAGATTTATCCGTCTACTTCTGGCTTTTGTTTGTCATACTAAAAAAAAAAAATGTAGCATCTTCATATAAATCTTTAAACATCTTCTAAATTTTAAAACCTCAACTTGGATGACTGATTTGATAGAAATTATTGATAAATGTCATTCAAGTGAAAAATCTGTTTTTTTCTCACAGTTGTGAAAATAAATTCTGTTTTTTCATATGGCATAATTTATTATCTTCTCTATGCTAGATAATTTTTGTTATCATAGAACCAGAAATGAAATACTATATGCAATTGTATGATACTGTTTTAAACATCAAAAAGTATCCTCTACCTAAACTGTTCAACACTCTAGGGAGCCTGAAATACCTTAAAAATCACTGAATTACTAAATGACTGAGTGTCAGTTCCTAAAGGAAAATGAAGATACTCTAATAATCAATGTTATATTGACATTGCTACTAAGTGTTCTCATTGATGAAGAAAAGTCAACCCTAAGGAAAACTGAAAAATAGGTCAAGATTATTGTCACAGACCCTTGAAGCCCCTCCCCACACGCTCGTCCCTGCCACCTGGACAGTCGCTTGGCCCTTTCCCCAGGTGCCCGCTGTCCTTTCTAACGCCCTCCTTCAGCCTCACGGACCCACACAGAGCCCCGCCCGGCCCAGGCCTCGGCCGTCCCCTCTGCTGTTCAAAGGCACTCCCTTCGCACCCTCCACTTCAGAAAGAGGAAAACAATACTTCTCCAAGTAGGGTTTCTACCAGCTATATAACAACCATGGGGATGCCATCAATATAAATACAGATTCAGGGTCACCTCCGAGTCCAAATGGACCAGGACATGTACCTACAAAGCCCAGGAATCTACGCTTCAGCATGTTCCCCACGTGAGTCATATTACACTGAAGTTTGGGAACCACTGTCTGGACACATGCAGTCGACGCTCCATTGACCTCAGAGCAATGAAGCTCCTCAGTAAGAAGGAAGTGGTTAAGCCATTCCAACGCACTTCGCTCCCCACCCCATCAGGGCGGGCTAAGCGCAATCACAGTCCCCGGCGAAAGTACATTTATTGTTAGAATTGCACACTTGTAACCCATATAATTTTATTAATCTATGTCACCCCAATAAATTCAATAAAAATTTTTAAAAAGAAAGTGTATTTATTGTTTCATTTTATCAGGAATCTTTGGATAGAGGGGAAGTCTTCCAGATACTTCACAAACCGCAATGAGCAAATCACTGTTCCGCCCACTGACGAACAGTCCGGCTCCGTCAAGGAGAGTCATGAATTGGGTTCAACGAACATCTTTTTAAGAGCCTGTTATAAGTCCAGAGGAAAAAAGCATGATGGTACCACAATCCCTGCCCTCAAGAATCGTCTCGTTTAGGAGGAAAAGCAGGTCCATAAAGAGATGATTTCGTAGGCATGTGTAGTGAGAGAATTACGCTGAACAAACAAAGGGACACGCGACACAACTTAGGAAGCTGTAAACGATGGTAGTTCAAAAGAACCTGGAAGCAAAATAGAATTAGGCAAGTCGGGCAGTAGTCTGTGTGCCTATTTGTTTTCTACGAAGAACAAACAAGAGAAATAGGAAAGAGCCCGTGAGTGCAGAAAACGTGAGGCGGGATGAAGAGACGGAGGCCGGAGGGCCCGCGGGGTGCAGGCGGGATGGATTCGGGCCAGTGAGACCCCACGTCCTCATGGCCTCCCTCCTCTGCAGTCCCGAACGCCAAGTACGTGTGCAAATATATCTTTAAGTATATGCGAACACTGCATTAATAAATTATGTACATCTTACTGAAATACCCAAAGAGAGTATGACATAAAGATAAAACATACAATATTTTAAGTATTTTTTATTTTGCGGGGGAAATGTATTTTATTTGTTACATTTATAATTTTATTATTAACTTCCCTGTGATACAGAGCGAGGTGCTGGCATCAATATGTATATTAAATATTAACAGCGCTTTCCTGATTTCTTATTTTCTAGGTAAAAGTATATATAAGTAGATGTTCTCCTATTGTCTTCTGCCCTCGGGTGGATTTTGCATGCTCACCTGGGACAGAGAAACTCAGTCACGTAAGTAATAACCCACATGAGAAATGACCGAGGAGTAAGTAAAGCCATGATGTGGTGAGGAGGGAAATAAATAAACCTACTGGATAAATATTTAGGAGAGAAAATCAACAGGACTTATGACTGGATGAAGGTAAAGATTCTAGAACTTCATTCGACGGTAGCTACTTGCCATAATACTTAAGAGTCTCAGTGAACAGCATCCATTCGGATGCGCAATAAGAGTAAAATGCACACTGGATTTTGAAAACAGTTCAACAAAACTGTAAAATATCTCATTAAATGTTTTAAACTTTATCATGTGACGATGACGCAGCAGAAACCTCATTTAAACTGGAGTTGGGAGGGCCTGGGGAGTTCTCTTGCCCTGCCGCTCACTAGTGAAAACCCGGACAGGGAGAGACGCGCTCTCCCTCTGCAAGAGGCAGCCGGGCTTCCTATTCTGCTCCCGCAGAACGGAGGCGGATCTCCTCGCCGGTGACCACACCGCCCGTGAAAAGCTGCTGCAGCTCGGCCAGTGGAAAGCCACTGCACGTCAGACTTTTGGTTTCCTCCCATGGACTCTGTTCACAGCAGTCCCTCTGAACCCCCGCTTTCCTCTATAAGGGAGCGTTTCTCACCTTTGTTCTCCGGACTTGCGTGTGGTTCACCATGAGACCACATGTTCCCACAGAAACCCGTCTCGCTGGAGAATTATCTGGCTGGCTATTTGTTTAACATCAACAATCACATGCTAAAATAATAATATCTTGAATATACTGGGTTAATAAAATCTATTTCTCATTGTCATTTCACCTGCTTCATCTTAGTTTTAACGTGGCAACCAGAAAATTTTAAATTACATATGTGGCTTTCCTTACATTTTTAACGGACATTGTGCGGCTCCAGAATGATTCTGAAACTCCTGGGGCTACCAGCTCGGAAGGAGTAGAGGAGACCGAGGTTTTGAAAAGGAGGGGAGTGGATGAGGAATTCGGCCAAGGCCACATTGAATCTGAGGTACCCGCGGGAAATGCGCGCGGAAGTGACCTGACACCTGAAGCAAGTGGAGAGGTTAGGACTGGTGACGCGGACGTGCACGTCACCGGCACATCCACAGGTGGCGGCTCAAACTGAGTGAAACAGGCACAGGCGGGACCTTGGGGAACAGCAACAGGTACCAGGTGGTCGGAAAAGTAGAAAGAAGTGTCAAGGAACAGGGGCAGTGAGGTCATGGGAGGCAACAGCAAGGTCAAGTTCAGGGAGTGTGTGGCTGGGAGTGTCTGATTCAGCCCATACAGGGACGTTAAAGTGCACCGTAGACATCGCAGTGTCGTTAGCTGTGCCTGTCACAGTACGGTGAGGGCTCAGTCAGAGTTCCGAGGATTGAAAAGCGAAGGGAAGTAAAAAATGGAGATGGTGACGATAAAGAGCTCTTTCTGGAGGAGCATGAAAGACGGTTAAAACCAGAAAACTGAATAGACATGGGGCCAAAGGAGGTGGTGTTCTTGCTGTTTGCTGCTGCTGCTGCTCCTGTTTTACAGTTTGGGGTGGTTTTTTTTTTTTTTTATGGCAAGGATTGAGCGCACTTATTGCTTGGAGGAAACGAGGGGTGGAGAGCAAGAGGCTGGAGATCCAGGAGAGACGGGATGAGGAGGAAGGCGGGCGCCGGTGAGATGAAGAGCCCCGGACAGCGCTGCCCTTGCGCAGGACCGGAGCAGCCTCACCCTGTGAGCCTGGGGGAGCGAGGGCAGGCGCAGGCCCTGCCTCTGGGACGAAGGGGCGGGACGTTTGGGAAGGTGCTCTGGGATGGGTCCAGCATTCTCAGCAAGAAACGAGACTAAGTTATCTGCAGGGGGGCAGGGGTGGGAGAAGGCGGACAGAAGGCCTGCGGAGGGCGCGAAGCACTGGGGCAGCTGGCAACCGAATGGGTCAACAGACCTGGAATGAGTGAACATGGCTGGTAAGACACAACCCTGTAAACTCCCAGAATATAATATACGGGAAAATCTAGATGACCTTGAAGATCGTGATGTCTTTTTAGAGAAAACACCAAAGACACAATCCATAAAGGAAATAAATTATAAGCTAGACTTCCTTAAAATTAAAAACTTCTACTCTATGAAAGGCAGTATCAACAGAATTAGATGACAAGCCACAGACGGGTGGAAGGTATTTGCCAAAGAGGAATCTGACAAAGGAATGTTATCCAAAACTTACAAAAGAAAAAAAAAAAGCTTAAAACTCAGTAAGAAAACAACCTGATTAGAAAAATAGCCAAAGACTTGAACAGACACCTCACCAAAGAAGATACACAGATGGCAAATAAACAGATGAAGAGGTGCTCCATATCATACATCATCAGGGAAATGCA